GGAGGGGCTGCGTGTCCCTTCCACCAGAAAAATAATAAATTACACAATAAATAATGAGAATCGAGTCCGAGACGGCGGAGCCCAGTCCCTGGAAGGTGCTCCCGGGCGGGGAGGCGCCCGCAGAGGGGCGGGAAGGGTGAGAACCGGGAGGGAAGCCCAGGCCCCTGGCCCGGCAGCGGCGATGTCCTTAAGCCCAGAGTCTCCTCAGTGGCGGAGGTGGTGGCGGCGTCTGCGGGCTCAGACCATTCTCTGGCTGTGTCTTGGTGTCGTCCCTGGGCAAAGCCGGCCTAATGTCTGCCCTCCTGCGGCCTCACCGCCTGGACGCCGTAGTCTCCCCCATTTTGTGGGCCCAGCGGGCGGTGTTTTTCCCCCTTTAATCCGAATTCACGGGTTTTCCCTTCGCTTTAATGGCGGCCACAGGGACCAGCTCGCCCTCTCTGCTCGCCCATTGGCCGCCTTAAGGTCACGTGGACCCGGGCTCCGTGGGGAGGGGGAGAGAGAAGGGAGCGAGGGAGGGCCGGGAAGCCTTCGGCCCAGGCGGTGAGCCGGGGGGACGCGGCGGCCAACCGGTGGCTACTGAGAGAGCGCCATCTGCTGGGTACCCCGGCAAGTGTAAAGTGACCCAGAGCTTTGGCCTCGTCTTTCTCCTTGCTGGGGAACCTACGGTATAGGAGGGTTCAATTCACCAATCTATGAGAATTACAGGAAATCCAGTTTGAATTCTTTGGCAGAGAAAGTGTCGACAAAAATTCCAAAGGGTTCTCATTTATTGCACGAGGCCGTTGGGGTGTAACCCAAACCTCTGGACCCAAGAGTCCGATGATCTGGATGGAGACAGTACGCAGCCACTCAGCTAACCTAAAAGTCGGGATATGAAGAAAGAAACATTAATGAAACAGTATAGCCTTGTGACTACCAGCCTTAGTAACTGGAGCTACACTGCCTGAGTTTCAAGCTTGAGCAACTAAGTTACCACTTTGTAACTTGGTTTCCTCATTTGTAAAACGGACAAGTTAATACAAATGAAGCAGGTAGCCCAAAGTCCGGCACAGAGAAGCGTTGTTAAGAGTTAACTATTATTGTTGTCATCATTACCTCATGTCCTCATTGTGAGGACCAAGTGAACTAGAGTATGTATAGGTTTCGCTAGGATATAATCTCCGTGAGACCTGTCTAGTGCCTAAAAAATGTTGTAGCATACCACAGGCTTAATACTTGTAAATTTAGAAATGAATGAATGCTGAGAAGTCACCAAATAAAAAGTTGGTTCTCTTTCCCATAAAACGCTCAATTATTGGCGGGATTACCCTTCAGTGTATGAGTTCAGAACATTTACCCGGAGAGTTTTAGAGAGGATTACAAGAAAGAAAGAAGAAAAATATGATCGGTTCTTTGGTCTCAGACACAGAAATGAGACAAGGACAAGAACATCATTGGTTGGAAAGCACTGCCGTAAGCTGTGGCTCTAAGGCCTATCACCTTCAAAAGTCCATGAACATGGCGGCGCCCGTGGCTCAGTGAGTAGGGTGCTGGCCCCATATACTGGAGGTGGCAGGTTCAAACCCAACCCTGGCCAAAAACTGCAAATAAAATAAATAAGCCAAAAAAAACTCAAAAAAAAAAAAAAAAGTCGACCTATAGCAAATGCAGCTACCATGCCAAGTATAACTGGAGTGCCAAGACTGAAAGACACCTAAAAGTCGTATACTGCAGATTCAGCCTTGGATTCTGTAAAGGAATAAAACCTACATCCAAAAAGACACCTGTTGCAGCGGCCAGTTCATCTTAAGAATTTCAACAGTTAGTGTTGTAATCAATGTTTTGGTTTTTAAAAATCTTTAAAAAAAAAAAAAAGAAGAAGAAGAAAGAAAGAAAGATAATCCTGGAGTTAGAAACATACTGTCCTCAAGGTACAGGGATTAAGTTAAACCAAAAAAAAGCTCACGCCTGTAATCGCAGCACTTGGGAGGCTGAGGTGGGTGGATTGCCGGAGCTCACAGGTTTGAGACTAGCCTGAGCCAGAGTGAGATTCCTTCTCTAAAAGCCGGGCATTGTGGTGGGCGCCTAGTTCCAGCTACTCTGAAGGCTGAAGCAAGAGAATCGCTTGAGCCCAAGAGTTGGAGGTTGCTGTGAGCTGTGACAGCACAGCACTCTACCCAGGGGGACAAAGTGAGACTCTCAAAAAAAAAAAAAGCAGGGGTGGGTGGGGGCAACGTGGCCGGACACAGCAGCTCATGCCTGTAATCCTAGCACTCTAGGAGGCTGAGGCGGGTGGATTGCATGAGCTGGCGCCTTTGAGACCAGCCTGAGCAAGAGCGAGACCCTGTCTCTACTAAAAAATAGAAAAACTGAGGCAAGAGGATCCCTTGAGCTGGAGCTGGTGTTTGCTGTGAGCTACGATGCCACAGCACGCTTCCCAGGGTGACCGCTTTAGACTTTGTCTCAAAAAAAAAAGGTGGAAGCATTAGTGAAGTAGGACTTATCATAATTCTAAATCATAATTGTCTCTGTAAAATAAATAGTGGATTCTTCCGTATCACTTTTTCAGCCACAGAATGAAAAGAATTCTTCATTCATCCATTTATTCATTTGTGGTGGTTAAATGTACAGCTCCGAAGCCAAAAGCCTGTCAAATTACCAATTGACCTTAGATCAAATTAATGTATCTTACTATCAGTTATTGTAAAATAGAGATAATATAAATATGAATACTTTTTTCTTATCTGGTAAGTGAAACAATGTAAGCATAGTGCTTTCCACAGTGCTCACTTATGTTACCTATTAATATAATTTAAAAAATCATTACTGAGCACCTGCTGGCTCAGCTGAGTCCGTTCCTGGTGTGTGCTAGGCCTAGGACACAAATATGAATAAGATACAAGATTCCTGAAGAGAGGCAATAAAGGAAACATATTCCATAGAATAAGATAAAATACAATGGGGTAATTGCTTGAATACGATATGTATCAACTATATAGCACAGTAGGGGGACTAGAGGAAGAGCATCAAAGCCACAGAAGCCATCAGAAAGGAGGTAGCATTTGAAATCAGATTTGAAGGATAAAATGAATTCTTATAAAGCCCTTTGAAGCAGTTAAGTCTTATTAAACCCAATTTAGATCCAAAGGCCACATATCAAAGTCAATTATACAGCCAGGACTAATTCAATCCAGGAGCTCAAATCAACTAAGGTCAGCGTCCTTTATAACTGAGTGCCAGCACCGGAAGAAGGCAATCCCCAGATCCAGAGAAGTCTGAGCTCCTCTGCTCGTCTCTCTCCCCCGAGAGATTCCTGAGATCTTTGTTCTGCTGTTGTCCTCAGTCTGAACTATCCTCTCTCACCTCTGGTCTAGGAGGTATCTGTCCTTCTTAGAAGTCTTGACCTACATTGCCCCCACCCCTTAACTTGAACACCTTCCTGAGGACTCCAGCAGCCAGTAGAATCTGCCTGAAACCTCCCACGTAGGAAGTAACATTTGATTGATCTTTCATTTGAAGGTCAATCTTCTCAAAAAGAAGACACGGAGGGAGGAAGATCCAGAGGGAAAAAGTCTGAGGATCCCAGAAAGAAAGCTGGAGGGAAGAGGGACAAGAAGCAGAAGAGAGAAACGGGGAGGAAGGAGAAAGGAGAGGGAGGAAGAGAGAATAAAGCAGAAAGCCTGAGAGAACGGAGAAGCAAAGTGGAGGAGGGGGACCCAAACTGTAAAGGGAATGGAAGTATGCAGAGGTGGGGAAGAGAAGAGAGCAATGTCAGCTCACAAAGAACACGTCAATAACAACATACATTCTGTTAAAATGACATCTTGTATGATTTAAAGAGTAGGCTCACAGGAGTAGGGTGCTGGCCCCATACATATACTGGAGGTGGTGGGTTCAAACCCGGCCCAAAACTGCAAAAAAACCCAAAACAGTTCCATCATGGTGGAGGATATTGATAATGCGGGGAGGCTATGCATGTGTGGAGGTAGGGGTTATATGGGATTTAAAAGTAAGGGTAACAGAAATATAGTTAAACAGTACACACACTTTGTCAAGATTTGGAAGGTATAGAAAAGCATGTAGAAGAAAATTTTAAATGTTCATCACCCCCCAAAATGCCTATAACACCATCATTCGTAATTAACCACCTTTTGACATTTTGACATATACATATATGTGTATATGTAATACACACACACACACATATATTTCCCTACATGGTTAAGATCATTATATATATAAAGATAACTACACACAGTTATTGGCTGTCTAGTATGTATTGGGTCATGTATGGACAAGATAGAGTATATAAAAGGAGCTCATAATCTTGCTAGATATGGCATTGGACAGTCAGATCAGCTGGAGTCAAAACTCTATGCTTGGTAGCTCCCTTCTCATGTGTAAAATGTATATGTAATGAAGATACCTAAATGTGAGAATTATTGTGACAATTAAAAGAGATAATCCAAGTAAAATAGGGAAGCCAATCAGGAACTTATTTTATTTTATTTTGTTTAGTTTTATTTTGAGACAGAGTCTCACTCAGTTGCCCTGGGGTTAAGTGCCATGGCATCATAGCTCACAGAAACCTCAAACTCTTGAGCTCAAGAGATCCTCTTGTCTCAGCCACCCAATTATCTGGGACTACAGGCACCTGCCACAATGCCCAGCTAGTTTTTCTTTTTCTTTCTTTCTTTCTTTTTTTTTTTTTTTTTTTTGAGACAGAGTCTCACTTTGTCA